TAGCAGTGTTGTCAGCCTGTTGTGTGAGCACCTGTAGTTGGCCATCAGGTCAGGCAGTATCTCCAAGTAAAGAATTTTGCAACAGATTTAAAAAAAAAAATAGGGTTTGCATACACTTTAACCACCCTCCACCTGGCCACTGTAATTGAACGGCTGGAAGACGCACCTCCCAGGGCGGGTCACCATTTTGAACAGATTGTTTTCTGCGATGGTCTGCACCCCCTAGTGCATGCGCCAGCACAGTACCTGAATATTCTTCAGTAAGGTCTGATGCTGTAAACAGTTCAGATGGTATTAGATTCCAGCTCCGATTGACCCCTAAGTCCTATATGAGAACAGGCAGGCACAATCTGCTGAAAGTACTATAAGACCAAAATATTTTAGGGACATGGACGCTGGGGAAACCACAACGTAGGCAAATCGCTCTCAGCACCCACTCACAGCTGCTCCCCAAGTCCCTCAACCCACAGCCAGCTGCACCTCTATCCCCTACCGGCCATGGTTCTCAGCTGCATTGAGATGAGTGGGTGGCCGGAAGTCTAGATGAATTATATTGAGGTTTATGTTCTATGTTCTTCAAGTCCTCTGTAGTGTATTGTGACTGTATCTATCACACTGAGTCTTTTCTGAAACCTTCAGAATAAGGTTAATACAAGTTGCTATTTTTCAAAGCCTTTTAGTTATTTTTAAAGCTTCCCATGTTGTGAAATAGTTTTGTTTATTAGTTTAAAGCCTTCCACGGATTGAAACATTTGTTTATTTCTGCGCTTGTGGAGCCCAGGGATTATCCGTATCCCGCATTAATAATGGTAATGAAGAAACTATATTCACCGGTACCCATCAAATCAGCGTTTTTTTCCATTTCTCTATTTGCTCGACTTGGGAGCTTAAAGTGCATCTGAACCCATGAACAAATTTGGATTATATTACAGTTTAGCAGTCCTTAGATATGGTGGCCGCATTAGTTCTTTTTCAAACCTTTTTTTCCTTTATTCTGCCCTGGTGATCTTGCCAGTAACACACACTTCCTGCCATTCACTATACTTTACCTATTGTTATTCAGGACAGAAAGTGTGTTAGGATTACAGAACACTCCCCCCCCCCTCTCCTCATCTCCATACATATGGTGGATGTGTTCTGTGGCCCACAGATGTGAACTAGTAAGGGGGTAGGGGGGACAACTGCTTAAGATACCACTGTGGAGTGCATAGGACACAAGGCAGTGCTGAATTTCGGATAGGATGGAGCTTTAAAGAATAAGTGCACTGGGTTTGGTTCGCTTGGATGTTCATCAAACCTAGATTCCTGCTTTGGTTTGGTGAATGTCCAAGCAAACTGAACCCAGGTCAGTTCACCCATCACTAATCACCAGGACACAAAGAAGGGGGAATCGCCTCAAATGGGGCACAAACAGCAATAGAAGCTTGACAAAGGGTCCAACCCTTCTATGATCTACCCAAAAGATTTTTTTTTAAATGTGTCCTTACATATTGTACACTTAAAGGTGTGGGTACAATAGAAAGCAGTAGGACAACAAAAGAGCTAACACACAAGCGTTTTTAAAGAGTGAACAGTAACACATTCTGTATTTTTTAATATATAACATCTTACAACATGAGACATGCATTCTAGTCCCACCATGAATCCACAGAACTGTTTTTTTTTAAATTTAAATAATGTCACAACATTAACATGTTTAAGCAGACAGTGCTATTGACCACCAGACGTAAAATGCAAACCGTATCAAAAAGCTTTTCATGACAATAAAAAATATTACATATTAATGAACGTTTCTGGAGCTTATAAGAACTAAGGACATTTGAGGTAATGGTATTATGAAGGGCAAGATGTTGCCTATGCGCACAAGATTTTAGCCCTTTTAGCCTTGATTCACACCTGAGCGCCTGAAGTTCAAAACTAGATACTTTTGAAGCAGAATGGGGCATTTTTGGTCCCATAGACTTGGGAAATACCAGAAAAATGATTGAATATAAGTATTCTTCAACCCTAAACAAACATTTCCAACTCCTGGTACCTAGCTCTCCAAGGGCTAAAACAAAAACCACTCATGCCTGAATACGCCTGAAAAACGTGCAAAATCGCACAAAAAACACTCCAATTTGCCTGTAAATGTTCGTGCTCAGGTATGAATGCAGCCTTCATGCAGCTGGGCTTTAGAATAAAAAATTTGCTAAGAAGAACATTTCTTGTTGCTAAAAACAAACCAATCAGCTTCCATCTGTCACTTCTGCACAGCAGAGTTTTGAATTAAACAAGGATTCTGAATGGCTGCTATGGACAACAGTAGATGAACTTGTTTCAGTTTTAGGCACCTTAGAGGACCCTGTCTGGTGCCTAAAACAAGAAGAAAAAGTGGTATTTTTAAAATGTAGCTCAATAAACTTAATGAGATAAACTTTAGATCTGTGGCTAACAACTGGATGTCTCCAGTATTACATATTAGCCCTATATACAGCAATAAAAAAACATCTCCTTAAAGGAGAACTAAAAAGATTTTGAGTCACTTTCAATTCAATTGCTTTTTAAGTGTATACAAGTTTACACTGAAATATGAAATATATACAATATATATCTATATAGATACATATTATAATAAAATTTACATTAAGATGATCTCTTTTACATGTGTATCTAATAAGGTTAAAAATGCTACAGGTCTGCTTTAAGCTATCACTTAGCACTTAACAGACACAATGGGGTTGACTTCCGAGGAGGTAGAGTACGTGCACTTTGCAAAGGAATTTTCACTTAGCTTAGGTGGTGAGTGTGGGGAAAAATCCGTTTTCAAATATGACCGAATCGCATGATTGAAAAAAAGCAATATTTTTGCTTGCAAATGGTTGGATTATTGAAGTCAACACATCTTCACCTCATTCACTAAGCTAAATGAAAATTCCCTTTAAAAATGACCGGCCTATAATTCTTTTGTACATTGACCCAATTAATAATTAACATTTATTAATTAAGTCATTAGTAAATACAGGCTCTGTCTACCGGGAGTCTTCCCTCTACTCTATGTGCATTTCTGTTTATTTCCTCTCATAATCTGGAATTAATCAGAAACTGTAGCAATGCTGAAGGTGGAGCACATCTTGGAAGTGGTTCAGGGTAGGTAACCAAGGAATCTAGAGACTGGGACCATGAAGGTGAGTAATATTTACATTAGACACTTATTTATGACAAACCCTTCCCTTTATATTTAAAGGGGAACTTTTTAGAAGTGTATATGTTTTCAAACTGTTTTACATACTGTATATTAAATAAATATATATATATA